CTCTTTCCTAGGGCCGAGAGAGAATGAAAGCCCAGTTGGCTTTGCAGTTAAGGCAGGACTCATGGTTTCCTTTTTCCATCCTGGTGTCTTAACCATTAATATAAAGTTATATATAGTTATATATAGTTATATATAGTTATATATATATATATATGTGTGTGTGTGTGTGTGTGTCTAAGTGCTATTGCTATTATATCAATCTAATCCAATCTTAATATGTACAATATAAAGGCACCCATTTAAGAATGTATTAAATGATACCAAGATTCTCAACCTAGTTAAATAATTGTGAAAATCAATCATACAGTACCTGCAGTTCATACAAATCATTACTATATCTTCCATATTCAACCATTCCTCCAAACACTAATATTCTGGTACCATCACAGACAAATCCATGGGCTGCACACCCTGGTGGAATATCTCCTCTGACAGCAGGAAGGAACCATTGGTTTGTGGCTGCAGCAAAAGAGACACAAAAATAAACCTAGGTCATAATTAATAGTATGAGCCCCATACGACTTCTAAACAAGACATCCACAAATTTAAACACAGAAGCCCTACATTTAATAAAGGGAGTTTAATATTCATTAATTATTAGGTTTTAAACCTAGCATTCTTAAACAAAAAGGTATTCCTTTCTTCATCTGGAAAGAGAAAACTTTTGATTCTTTACTTTCCAATCAGTCTCAAGATCTGCCAATAAGAACCTGGTGCAAAAGATAGGTATTTATGTAATAAAACATTGATATGTTTAAGTAAAACAGAGATAACAATCTTTTTATATAAATATCCATACCAAATTACCAGACAGTTTTCATTTTTGCAGAATAACTTAAAAGCAGGGTTGAGATAATTTGATCACACAATTTTGAACTTCAAAACTCCATGCAAAGTATTGTAGAAAAATCAATAGGTCCCAATTTATTTTTTGCCAACTTGCCCATCAAACTTTGTACAGTATATTAAAAATTAATATTAAAAAAGAAAAATCATATGATCAGGTTCTGAACCCAAATCTACTCCTTTATTTCATTTGCAGTGTAAAAACTATTATTCTCATAATCTTCCTTCATCTAATCAGCATAGTCTCTTTCTTTCCCTCAGCACAAAGATTCACTTAATAAAACCCTGTTTTATGAAAAAAAAAGTCCCTACATTCATCCTCACCGAACAGATTGGATCATGAAGTTTTCAAAGCGTACAAATACATCTCATACCTACTAGAGCCCCATTCCCAAACTAGCAATACATTCCTCCTATCATCTACCTCTAGCTTTCCTAGCTAGGCTAATCACATCCATTGTGATATCCCAATTTCAGCAAATCTAATTGGTTATCAGTCTATACTTTGAACAACTTTATTTTAAGACCCTTCTTGCTACAGTTGTTAAGTGAATCACTGCAGCTGTTAAATAAATCTGGCTTCCCCATTGAATTTGCTTGTCAGGAAGTTGAAAAAGGTGACTCCGGGACATTCTAACTGTCATATATGCATAGCAGTTGCCAAACATCCCAATTTTGATGACATGACCATGAAGATGCTGTTACAGTCATGGGAAAAACATTCATAATCACTTTTTTCAGTGCCACTGGAATTTCACTAAACAAAAGGTTGTAAGTCAAGGACTACTTGTAAATACCAAATTGGTGGCCTATAATCAAGATTCAAATCTGTTACCGCCAATACCTTCCAATTATCTCCCTCATTTATCATGTGCAAATATCCAAACTTACTTTCCATTCATAACCTCTCAAAGCAAAATTGCTGGACACACATCATCTTTTCCTAGAACTCGGCATTCAACTTTTTCATCTTAACACTGTTTCAAATGCTTTCACATATTCTCACCAAATATTTTGTCACTTCCTGACCCATGCTTATAGCAATATCACCCATTTTTAATATAGATTCACAATATAACTTTTCATTTATCTACTGACTCAAAGCATTTTTATTGGAAAGCTTAACTGAAATACATCATACAATAACTCACAATCCCTCCATGATGGAAGCATTATAAATTGTTTATAATTATAATTGTTACTTTATAATTTATTACTTTACAAAGTATTTTACATAGTCAACTAAACTTAACAGAAAAAGTGGTTTGGTGACTTTGCAGTTCTTGACATATTTTTATCTTTATTACCTATATTATATCTATAATTTATACACCTATATTGCTCATATTCTTTATTATGCACTATTTTATATGAATCTTCCTTATCTCTGGATACAATGACTTTTTTACTGTTATACTCATCTTTATTCAGACCATATATCTCTGATTATCTGATTAGCATCACCATCAGGCAAAGTTATGAAAGACAAAAGTTATTCCATCTTCATCTAACAGATGTATGCTATAGGACAGTGGAACAGAAGTTTGCACATTTATATAGCTAATCTTCACTAGTACTTATCTTGTGTACACAAAATACACACAGCACAATATATATATATATATACAGTAAACCCCCAGACCCTAAAAATCTTCATTCCTTGCTTCTACCACACTAAGATAGCAATTCCCTGCTTGAATAGGTCATTATAACCATAAATAAATAAAAAATAAAGGTGCATGCAGGGACTAAGATTATGCCCTTGGAGATAGCAAATAGAAGCAAATATAAAGCAACACACCCAAAGTTAATGTACCAATGGAATTAACCAGTTAACTCAATCTTCTGCGGTAACTCAATTTTCTACCTTGGTGCACTTTATGACCAACACATTAAGCTGAAATTTGTGGTTGAGTGAATCTTGCGGGGAATAAATTTTGTAGGAAAAATCAGACTGTTTCGCAGCCTTCGGTCGCCAATCTGTACCCCAAGAAGGAAAAGGGCTACACAAGTTCAGCCCAGAGAACGAGGACTAAACCTCCGGGGATGCCCTTGAGCCAAAATCGCTTCGGAGCCTCTTCCCTTCGGATTAAGCGCAAAAGACCGGCTCCGTGTCAGCGAATACACACGTCCTCCGTGTTCCCTTAAAGCCCAACAGGGAAGGAGGGCAGAAATTTCCCTCCGCCACGAAGCCATGCCAGGGCAGAGGGCTGAATCGTAGGCGCAAACTCCCAAGCCTATCATCCTCAGCCACTCACCGGGCGCCCTCCCCCACACCATTACCCCCGTTTCGCAACACGTCCTCCCTTCTCGTCCAACCCGACCCTGAGACCCCCGCGCCGAAGGCCTTTTCGCGGCTAGCGAAGCAACAGCAGCAGTTACTGCTGGAGGGGAAAGCGCCCCGCCGGGGCAACCGAGCCCGCCCTGCTTCTCCTTCCCTTCCTTCTTCCTCCCGATCCGCACCGGTATTGTATACATGCAGCTCATCGGCGATGCCTTCGTTGCCGCCCCCGAAGATGATGACCAGCTCGCGGATCGCCACGGCGCGATGGCCATGGCGGGATCGGGGGACCGGCCCCGTGAAAGAAGAAACGCGCCTCCAATTCAGGGCAGCGGCGCCTGCCGCCATTTTATCCGCCCACGCCCACAATGCACCGCGGCGGGGCCCGAGGCAGCTGCTGGAGAGTTTGGCGAGGAAGCCAGGCCGGCCCGGCCAGGGGAAAGTGCGGGGAATGAAGCTGCAGCAGCCACAATAACAATAATAATGATGATGATAATAATAAAACTAGGATGCTGGCAGCAACCCGTATTAACCATCAATGCCAGTCAATAATATTTGTGATACATTTTCAAATGTTCAATTGACTCTGTTTCATGTTTAATGAATAAAATAACAACAACAACAACAACAACAATAACATTGTACATCTTAAGAAGGTACTTGGTTGATACCTAGGACGCTGGCAGCAACCCGTATCAACCATTAGCACCAGGCAATGGTATTTGTGATGCATCTTTAAATGTTCACTTGACTGAGTTTCATGTTTAATGAATAAAAGAATTATTATTATTGTTGTTGTTATTGCTGACCACAATAATAATAACAATTAGAATATCTCACGTGCTGAACTGGAAAATGTGGACTGGAAAACACACAAACTTTTGAATATGTACCACACTTTGCATTCACAAAGTAACATCGACAGGTTGTACTTGTCAAGAAAAATAGGGGGCAGGGGGCTATTGCAAATCCATCAAACTGTAGAAGAGGAAAAACAAAGTTTGAATAATTATGTGAACCAAGGTACAGAAAAATTGCTACAGGCTGTGAAATCGGAGAATAGCAATAGCAATAGCAGTAGACTTATATACCGCTTCATAGGGCTTTCAGCCCTCTCTAAGCGGTTTACAGAGAGTCAGCATATTGCCCCCAACAATCCGGGTCCTCATTTTACCCACCTCGGAAGGATGGAAGGCTGAGTCAACCCTGAGCCGGTGAGATTTGAACCGCTGAACTGCTGATCTAGCAGTAGCCTTCAGTGCTGCATTTAACCACTGCGCCACCTCGGCTCTAGAACAGTATAAAAACAACAGAAACAAAGGCAGAATATAAGGAAAAACAAGTGGATGACAGATTAAATAGAATATAAGGCAAACCAAAGCTTTGCATAGACAGCACTTAAAAAAGATTGAAGGAAAATGTGATGACAACTTAACATGGACATGGCTTAAGATGGGAACCATCAAGAAAGAAACGGATGGTTTAAAATACTCGCTGCTCAAGAACAAGCACTACAAACTAATGCCATGAAAGCGAAGATACAAAAATCCACTGACAATCCAAACTGCCGACTTTGCAACAACAAAGTTGAAACTTTCACATTTAATATCTGAATGCAGACAGATCGCACAAACTGATTACAAAATTAAGACACGACCGAGTTGCTAAATTCATCCACTGGTCATTATGTAAAAAATACAACTTACCTGTATCCAAAAAGTAATGGGAGCACAAAGTTGAAAAAGTTACTGAAAATGAAAGTGAAGATCTTGTGGGAGTTTGAATACAGATGGATCGTCATTTGGAACACAACACGCCATGGTTGTAGAGGGCCGAAATGTACAATTTATTGACATCGCTTTACTAGGAGATGCCAGAATCGAAGAAAAAGAACTGGAAAAAAACACGAAATACCGCAACCTGGCCATCAAAACTACCCGATTATGGATGAAGCATGTAAAAGTGATACCCATTGTCATCAGGGCACTTGGTACCATATCCAAGAATTTTATAAGATACATCAACAAATTTCAGCTTCCTGCACTAACACCAGCGGAACTGCAAAAAACTGCGCTACTGGGAACATCATATATTTTAAGAAGGTACTTGGTTGATACCTAGAATGCTGGCAGAAACCGTACCAACCATTAACACCAGTCAGTGGTATTTGTGATGCATTTTTGAATGTTCAGTTGACTTGAGTTTCATGTTTATAGCAATAGCAATAGCAGTTAGACTTATATACCGCTTCATAGGGCTTTCAGCCCTCTCTAAGCGGTTTACAGAGTCAGCATATTGCCGCCCCCAACAATCCGGGTCCTCATTTTACCCACCTCGGAAGGATGGAAGGCTGAGTCAACCTTGAGCCGGTGAGATTTGAACCGCCGAACAGCCGAACTGCAGTCAGCTGAAGTAGCCTGCAGTGCTGCATTTAACCACTGCGCCACCTCGGCTCCATTATAATACGGCTGACCATAATAATATATGCCTAATATAATTTGTCAGTTGGAAAACAGGCTACCAGACTTCTGATTTCTCTTTCTCTTTCAGTAATCAATGGCGGTTTTGTGACATGGCTTTTTTCCTCCTGCAGCAATTAATCAGTTTTCATTTAAGATGGGCAGCATAAACAGTTGTTTTTTCCTAGCATTTAAGGCAGCAAGATAGCAATTTTTGTCATTGGAATTTCTTAAACCATTTTTTTAAAATGTTATTTTCACAAGGGGGATGATCATGAAGTATCTGCATGGGGGTGGAAATTTAAAAAAGTCAAAATGGTGGTTGTGATTTTAAGTTTAAATCTCTTTACTAGCTCAATGTTGCGACACATGTAAAAAGGAGCCTGAACTGACACGCTGCCTCCCCCATGGATGCCCCTGAGAGTTTCCCACTGATGGATTATAGGACGGCTCTCATCTTTAATGACCTCTTGAAATATCCACAATGCAGAGATTAAATATATCCTGTACAACTTTCCGCAACTATGTTTTAACATTATCGGGTGAACGTTGCACTATATCTTCTAAAAGATGCAGAATCTGTAATTATTTTCTTAATCCAAACACAGACTGGCCTTATAATTTTAGATAAAATAGGGTTTTTTTCTACTGTTACTCATTTTTCATGCTTGTAAGTTTATAGATGCTTCTTTGTTCACCGTGATCTGAAATATACACAACATTAAAAAAAATCTAAACTTGGGCTCTTCCTACAATCTTTTCCGCCCCGTCTCTGGAATTTTCTTTCTGATGAAGAACTAGGGTGGGAGGAGGAAAGTTCACCAATTCTGCAGCTGCCGTATTCACCACATCTGGAAGCAGTTTAACTTATGTAGCTCTCTCATTCCAGCAGGCCGAAGTCTGGATTCTGTACAGTTCCATAATCACGGAGAAAGGAAAGGAAAAAGGTAATTTCCAAGTAAAACACCGAAGATATTTTTTTAAAAACAATTCTGCCTCAAATTAGTTTTGAAGAAACTAAAAAGGATTTTGAAGTATCTCGCATGTAGGATTTCAAGTGGGAATCCCAGGAGAAAAATGGTTCTGACATGAATGTTTATTACACTGAATCAGCCAGCTATCCACAGCAACTGCTTGCTTGAAGTTATTTTTCTGGAGAGAAAAAATCCACAATTGCTCTGCTGTTGCCTTAAAAGGTAAAATTTTGAATTTTATTGGAAACAGAGTATTTACAGTTTTATTTTCTTACTATTGTTTCTAGAGTTTGACAGCCTTTAGGGAAAAAAATCCCAAGTATTGAAATGTCAGCAAAGTACTGAGCTAATATGATCTCATTTTTGAAAATGAAAACTCTAGCTTTGTTCTTAAATTCTTTTCATTATTAAGTAAAAGTGGGCATTAGAAGTTTCTAGGTATAGATATAATTATTATCCGTTTACAGAAAGTTTTGCATTAACTTTGATTTGCAGTTGAATTTTGCATTATGGTTGAAAAGCAAAAACACGTATCTTATGTGTACCAGAAATGAAAGAAATCAATTCTTTATGTGTAGAATGAATGATTACATTATAAGTATGTTTGCTATATTGAGAACTAGTCTCTAAATGTAAAATCTCTATGCATGTCATTTAATATTATTAAATATATTACTTAATGGATTTATTATCAAATACTAATTTCTTAGGTTGTTACAAAACCTAAAATATGACAAGTATTACTTAGTTGACAATATGGAATTATAAAAATGTTTAGGTTAAAATCACCATTATGATAATGACCTACATTTAATTTTCATAGTTCTCATGATTTTCTTGCTAATACTATGGCAAAATAATGCACATCCATTCTTTACTAACTACTCTTCAGTATTATGTTAGGTACAACACTGAAATTTATTTAAATACAAACTTGAGTTATTTTTCCTAAGGTGATTGAGGGAGAGTACTATAAACTGGAGGGCAAACTTAGAGTTTGCTATTTACAGTATTTTATAGTATAAAACAGTGTTTCTCAACCTTAGCAACTTTAAGATGTCCATGCTGGCTGGAGAATTCTGGGAGTTGAAGTCCATACATCTTACATTTGTCAAGGTTGAAATATATTGATATAAAGAACAGAACAGCTCTTCGTTTATTTAGATGTACCTGTAGCTACAATAGTTAGCAGACAGAATATATACACTTGCTTCTTCATTGTTAGTTGTTAATTGTTGAAGGGAGAGAAACAAACAAAAAAGAAAAGAGTAGAAAGTGTTGAATAAATTATGGTGGAGTGCATTAAGAAAGAAACTGCATCCCTTCAAGCTTTGTTTACATATTTCAGATTCAAACATATTTAATTTAGACCTATAGAGGTCTCAGTATACATATGGTAGATTTGATATTTTTGCTGTATTTTAACTTTCTGGTTTTTTCTCTTATTTCACCCACAGGTTGCAACCAAATGAAAGGGCCATATGGCTTTATTACGAAAAAGTAAGACATCTTCAGGAAAAAAAAGTGTGATTAAAGAGTCGATATCTTTTTTTTTTTTTGCTCTTAGGGATTTTTATTTTGCAAACATGTAATGAACCCTCTTGTAAAATGGTTGTGGGAAGGGGACTTTCCCATCCACAGGACAGCTTCTATTGAGGGCAGAGCCAGTTATACAGATGTACTAAAATGTTGTCTTTTCTAGCCCACTCCCTTCCATAAAATGCACTTATTGAACACAGCAAAAAAGGTTGTAAAACTGGGTCCAGTCATGTGATGACTTGGTTTATCAAAACTAACAACCATAATCAACAGGCTCAATTACGGTCATAATTTGAGGGCTACTGTAAGAGGTGATCAAATCAGAGTTGGGTTGTTGCTGGTTTAGCCCAGATCGGGTGAACTGGTAGTAGTGGCAGCAGGAGGCTCCACCC